CTTCACTGTTGCTTATTTACGGTGGTACCGTCAGGCCAGTTGTTGTGGACTCCAGTGGGTGGCCACCATTAGCCATGATTCGGGGTATACTCGTTATGGTTCGGCAGTGCAGGGTCGAGCCACTGTCACCCGCCAGAACTCCCGATCCGTGACGTTCCTGTCCCTGCGCGCCCTGCGCCCCCAGGACTCTGCCCGCTATTTCTGTGCCGTTGCCACAGCGGCAGGAAACGCAGCTGCACCGGGACACAAAGCGGCTCCCAGGGGCTCTGCGCTGGCGTGTAGGGGCTGGAGAGGAGGGCAGAACCAGGCACGTCCTGGGCCACTGCTGCTCCCCACGGGGCCATGTCACTGCAGCGGGACACGGGTCCTCTCCTCCACCGCTCCTTTCTTACACCGCACACACAAGGACAGGTTCCAGCGCTAACATGGGGCTTTCCTCTCCCTTTTGTCCTCCTCCCCACTTCTTCTTTGTGAAGACCTGCCTAGATCTTGGTGCTTATCTGTGCAGAGGAGGTGCTGGGGTCCCTGGCACTGTGGGAGCTGAGCAGCCCTGTATCCTGCATGGCGCTGCAGGACCACGCTGCCTCCTCGCAGCCCGGCTGGCCTGAGCCTCCTGGGTCCCTGCAGAGCCCATTGCGAAGGACCTTGTCCCCTGCCCACTGTGCGCCTGGCCCCTCTGCGCAGCTCATGGCCTCCTCAGCACGAGAGCAGCAGGGCGCGGGGCGCAGGGGCTGCGACAYGGGGGGCTGGGCCGGATGGGGCAGGGCATCGGTGGAGCTGCTGGCAGCCAGDGGCGGCAGGGCCCGGGCAGCAGGAGCAGAGCTGGGGGCGGCTTCAGCTCTGCTGCTCCCCGCCTGCGCCCAGGGCTGCTTTGCTCCTGGCCCCGCAGGACTGGGATGTTGTCCAGGATGGCGCCTTGGCTCCTGGCTCTGTCCTTCGCAGCGATGCTGGCGGGTGAGAGCTGGGCGGGGATCGCGGGGCTGGGGGGACTGGGGCTCCCTGGGGGTGCCCATTACCTATTGGATCCCCAAGTGCTGCTGCTCCCATGTGGAGTGAGCCCTGCCATGGAAAGTTACCTGCTGGATCTGGGTGCTGTGGCCAGCCAAAGGAGGCTTCCGAGAGAGCAGAAACATGCAAAGAAAGAGCCCAGATGAGCCCTGAGGAAGAAAAGCCTGGGATTTCCAAGACTAGCGTTCTTTTCCCAGACCAAGGCACTGCGAGGAGGATGCAGTTCCCTGGAAAGGGGATGTCATAGTACTGCAGTGGGCATGGGATACTTTCAGACCCGTGGTTCTAGCCTGGAGTGGGTCTGGGACCTCAATGAGACTCCTGCACTYGGAGCTGCTGGCGGAGGGTTGAGCCATCGCTGCCTGCAACAGGGCATGGGGAAAGGTGCCCTGCACCCGTGAGACTCCCCTGAGGGCTGCGAGCAGGAGACCCACCAGCACCCTGAGCCAGCCCTCTTGCAGGGGCTCTCTGTGGCCCTCACTGTAGGCGCTGGAAGGGAGGGAACTGCTGGAGAGTGCGGAGCTGTTCCAAAGCAGAGCAACGGTCAAGGAGTCCGCTTTAGGCGTCCCACTGGAGCACGGACATGGCAGTGTCACCACCAGGACTGCCCTCTCCCTGGCCCGCTCTCGAGGTGACCGTGGCTCTGTGTTGCTCTGCACAGCAGTGAACGGCCAGATGACCTTGGAACAGCTCCCGGGGACACTGGAAGTGCGGGAAGGCGACGTGGCCGAATTCCGGTGCAGCATGAGAGGAGGCAGCATGAACAACTACTACATGTTCTGGTACCAGCAGAACCTGCAGGGCTCTCTCACAATGATTTACAGGGAGGGTGATCAGTATGGAGAGGGCTTTAAAGATCGTTTCCAGGGAATAGTGCAGAGCTCTGYGAACAGATTCACTCTGAGGATTCGAGCAGCAAAGCCGGAGGACACAGCCGTGTATTACTGTGCTGCTGAACTCACAGTGCAGCAGCGCTTGAGCAGGGTGGAGCAAGAACTGGCTGCGAGGGAGTCCAGACAAGGGAGCGTTTCCTTCCAGCAGCCACAAAGCAGAAGGGGCGCCAGGCAAGAGCTGCTGCCCAAACCAGGCCTTTCTGCTGCTTGCAGGGAGAGGACGCCAAGCAGCGCGTGTTGTGTGGAGCTGCCTTGGGATATCCCAGGGCCGGGAGCTCTCTTTGGTGCAGAGGGACGAGGGATGATGCTGAGTCTCCATGTCCCCAGGAAGGGTCCCTTGGAGCGGCTGCTGAAGGAGCTGCCCCTCTGGGTTTGTGTCTGTGTCCTGCCTTGCTCCCTGCCCTCTGTGTCCACAGGGCTGCAGGCCCAGGTGCGGCTGCTGGAGGCTGGCGGAAAGACGGAAGCGCCTGGGGAATCCATTCGCCTCTCCTGCCACGGATATGGATTCAACTTCAGTCTCCCTGCCTTATTTTGGTACCGTCAGGCCACAGGTGACCCACCAAAGTGGGTGGCCACCATTATCGCTGATTCTACGTACATTCGCTACGATTCGGCAGTGCAGGGTCGAGCCACTGTCACCCGCAGCAATTCGCAGGCTGTGTCGTTCCTGKCCCTGCGCGCCCTGCGCCCCCAGGACTCTGCCCGCTATTTCTGTGCCGTTGCCACAGTGGCAGGAAACGCAGCTGCACCGGGACACAAAGYGGCTCCCAGGGGCTCCGCAGGCATCTCGGCCGCGGCCGGGCACCCGGCTCTGGAGCTGCGGGGGAATGGGAGGATAGGAGGAAAATGCGGTGCCTTGTCTCTCTTTGCAAGGCCTGGCTCCAAAGGCAGGCAGTTCCTCTGGCCATGGTCATCTCTTGGGGTCAAGGAGTCAACTTTAGCTCTCCTGCTGCACAAGGGACATTACAGTGTCAGCACCAGGGCTGCATGCTCCTGGCCCACTCTCAAGGCTCTGTGTTGCTCTCCACAGGAGTGAACGGCCAGGTGACCTTGGAACAGTTCCCTGGGCCCCTGTCAGTGCGAGAAGGCGACGTGGCCGAATTCCAGTGCAGCATGAGAGGAGGCAACGTGGGTGTCTACTACAAGATCTGGTACCAGCAGAACCTGCAGGGCTCTCTCACCTTGGTGTGTGATCAAGTTACTGAGTGTGCACCTGCTTTCCAAGGTCGCTTTGAGATGGCCTTGGAGAGTGCTGCCAACAGATTCACCCTGAGGATTCGAGCAGCAAAGCCGGAGGACACAACCGTGTATTACTGTGGTTTTGTGCTCACATTGCGGCAGCTCTTGAGCAGGGTGGAACAAGAACTGGCTGTGAGGGAGTCCAGACAAGGGAGCGTTTCCTTCCAGCAGCCACCAAAGCAGAAGAGCTGCTASCCAAACCTGGCCTTTCWGCTCCTTGCAGCCCTGAGGGACCGGTATAGTGCATGTTGACCGCGGGTCAACATTGGGACTGTTCCTAGGGAGAGCTGGGCTACCACAGCACTACATGAGGAGATACTAATTGTCCTGAAAATAGAATTATTCGCTCCATCACTCTCTCCTATGACCCAGAATCAAAGACACATCTCACATCTACTGTAAAGATGTAACATTTCCCCTTTCCAGACCTGCGCCCACTTCCTTGTGCCTGTTTTGGTAAGGTCATGTGCTGCTGGATGATGCTGGACATCTTCCCTTCCTCGCCCTTTATTTGTGGGTGTCCCTGTCCAGTCGGCTGCAAGAGAGCAACAAGGATGTGCTTGGGACATGGGGTGGAGGCTGGGTTGGGTCCCATGGGCGCAGGGGGTGACTGGGAGGAGGAGCAGGCAGAGTTGCTCTTTCTACTGTACTCCTAAGGATAGTCCCCACAAGCTACAGAACCCAGAGACATGAGAGAAAATCTGGAGAGGGGAAGACTTTCCCCTGGTTGAAGACAATTGGCTTAGGTTTTTTAGGCAAACTATGTGTCTACTCACATATCTATGGGCCCTGATGGAATGCATTCATATGTGATGATGGAGCTGGTGGGCATTATTGCTAAGCCACTCTGTCATCTTTGAAARGTCATGGAGAAGAGGAGAGGTGCCTGAGGACTGGAAGCCAACATCACTCATCAAGTAGGGCAAGAAGAAGGAATCACAAAACKACAGGCCAGTCAGCCTCACCTCCAACCCTGGAAAAGTGATGGAGCAGCTCATCCCAGAGACTATCTCTAGGCATGTGAACAGAAAGAAAATGATCGAGAGTAGTCAGTGCGGATTCCCCAAGGGGAAGCTGTGTTTGACCAGCCTGATAGCTTTCTACAATGGAATGATTGGTTGGATGAATGAGGGAAGAACAGTGGATGTTGTTACCTTGGCTTCGGGTAGACTTTCGACACAGCCTCTGGTAACATCCTCATAGGGAAGCTCAGGAAGTGTGGGTTGGATGAGTGGGCAGTGGGGTGGATGGGCTGAATGGCATGGCTCAGAGGGTTGTGATCAATGGGRCCGAGTCTAGCGGGAGACAGTGGTGTCTCCCAGGGGTCAGTACTGGGCCCAGTGCTGTTCAACTGGTTCAYAAATGACTTGGATGAGGGGACACAGTGCACCCTGAGTGAGTTTGCAGATGATACCGGGCTGAGTGGATTGGCCAACACTCCAGAGGGTTGTGCTGTCATTCAGCAGGACCTGGACAGGCTGGAGGGTTGGGTGGAGAGGAACCACATGAGCTTCAACAGGACAAGTGCAGGGTCCTGCACCTGGGAGCAATAACTGCAGGCACCAGCACAGATTAKGGCTTGACCTGCTAGAAAGAAGCTCTGTGCAGAGGGATTTGGGAATGACTTCACCTTCATCCCAGAACACTCTCTCCTTGCCAGAAGGAGCAATGGGCTCAGCTACCCGTAATGATGTAATGAAATCAAGGTGATTTGCTGGGAGCAATGCTAGCAAACTGTCCCTAAAACAGGCAATTGAGTTGAAATACAAAGGAGATTATCTGAGGRCCAAGAGGCATTATGCTGTAAGAGTAGGATCATTTTGCTTTTGGAAAAGGCAGGGATTGGACACAATTGTGCACATTGATGGCACACACAAACCATCACAGAATCATAGAATCACAGAATATTCAAGGTTGGAAGGGACCTCTAGAGATCATCTAGTCCAACCTTCCCGCTCAAGCAGGCACACCTAGAGCATGTGGCACAGGGTGGCATCCAGGTGGGTTGTGAAGACCTCCAGAGAAGGAGACTCCACAACCTCCCTGGGCAGCCTGTTCCASKGCTCTGTCACCCTCACAGTRAAGAAGTTCCTCCTCACCTGGAGATRGAYATCTACTATTTCTCCTCTAAAACCTATCCCAAWCATCTAGAATACTTTCCTTGAGAAATCCCTCTCTTTTCCTCTGAAATAAAACTTAGGGAGGAGTCTTCAGCAGCACTTGWGTAAGTGTCTTTTGACAGATATTCAGAACATTATTTCTAACAGCTTATCGGGAGYACTGGAGCGCCTCCTGCATTGTTTTTGAGAAGATGCAATAATTTTCATTATAAACCAAAGAATTCTAAGTATGCAGTTTGTGGGGATTGTAAAGACAGGTGTTTTTCCGTGGCCAGCCAAAGGTTTAGCATGGGAAAAGGCTTCCTAGCTGCAAGAACACAGTGATGAAGTCTCTGACCTGGGAAGGTTTAGGTAGAAAGCAGAGGTGATCGGAGGAACACTTAGGCTTGGGGCAAAAGGTCTTCAGAACTTGCTTTCTTTGTCGGGAATAGAAGCTAACCAGAACTGGTCTTCATAAGTAATAGATGAATATCTATATATTTTATATATGAATATATATGGAGAGGGCTAATAATTCAGCATGGAACAAGGCAGATGCATGAATCAGATGAAATAATGGTATTTCCTTCCATATCTTAGAGCTGAATTTGAGTCTTCAGAAACTGATTATTTTGATTAATGTTTACTTAGAATTGTGGAGCAAAGTTGGATAATCAAATGGAAAGCAAACTTTAGTCAGCCATAATTCCCCAATTGCATATACTACTACAATATAACTACATATTCCTGAAATTCTCAAACTTAGTTAAAAGCCTATATTTATAAATGAAAAGTCCAAAGCATAGCAAGCTCAGKGGTCAAATAATCTAGTTCATAAGATAAGAGAAACTGTGGAAAAAAGATCCTTATAAGGACTCATTAAAGACCCTTATAAAAATAACCATGTAGATGGTTAAAAAAGTCTGTATCTTAATGAAAAAAAAAAGACTTTTAGCTCACTAAGACAAAAAGAATCAATTACACCACCAATAACTAAACAAATTAAACTCTGAAAAATAAGTGAACGTGAATATTGACTCATGTCAGTGATATACCAGTATAAATACTTTGAGTAGTTAAGTGAGTATTAATATGATTGGGGCAGCTCATTCTTTAAAAAGTCCTTGACTTTATAGAAGTTATTTAAAAATAAAGGAGGTATGAAGTCCTTCAAGTGCGAATAGATCTGATAATTGGATGGAACTATATTCATTTKCACAAGTATGTGCAATATTTTATTGAGGTGAGTATTACCTACCAAAAAATGCTGAAAATTATATTATTTTCTGTAAGTAGCAACCCTTGGCAATAGTTTCAACTTACTTGGGACTACAAGTGTAAAGGCAAGAGGGGAAAAAGTCCATCAAAGGAGATGAAAGAGGAAGAGGTACCGGCACTGACAAAACCCATATGTTTTTGTGTGAATGTATATCACTGTGTTGACTACGTACCACGGTGTGTGAAAAACACTGAACCGCTGCACACAAACTGGGTGCAAACCGTGCCTCCTTGAAGGTGGAGCAGGGTGCCCTGCATAACTGCTGCACACAACTGCATCCGCAAACACAAGTTGTCTTCCCTGCGTGACAGTAGGGAGATCTTCCTTTGCCAGGGCAATTTCCCTAGTTTTCAAAATCCGATCTTAAATCTTACAAACCAGGTGATTTTGGTGTGATTTTTGCAACTTCTGTGGCTATTGGGTCCAGTTGTTCAGACAGGGATTTAAGTTACCTATTTTTGATTTTTCCATATAAACCCATTGCTGTGTTCTGTTCTTTTCCCTCCTCTCCCCCAGAGCACAGACAAGGTAGTTTACGCTGACTCTGTTTAAGAACAAAAATTCCTATTTTATTTTATTTTATTTTATTTTATTTATTTTATTTTATTTTATTTTATTTTATTTTATTTTATTTTATTTTATTTTATTTTATTTTATTTTATTTTATTTTATTTTTTTATAGGTCCAATAGTGACCCGAAACAGATGCATGAGGCAGAGTACAAAAGCATGAGACCTACAAAGGACACATCACCCTTGGAATCTCACAGCTACCAGACTTTGGGTCCCATGAGTTTCCTTCGTACCCCAAAATGCCCAGTGGATCTCTGCCCAATTAAAGTTAGTCCCGACCTCCATAAATACCCCCATACTTCTTAAAAGCCACATCCTGTGTCTTCACGTGGTATGTTGAGACAGAAGCCACCGCAGAGGTGGCACGGTTGCCCATCTAACCCAAGGGCTGCAGAGGAGGGAGGTTCTTGTAGAACAGTGCATCACTGTGTTGGGTTGGGGGTACGGTAGTACCACGGTGTTATAAACGTCGCTGGGTCCTGTATGAAAACCCATAGGTACAAAAAAGACAATATATCTTTTGCAGGAAAAGAGATAGGAGCTTGAAATGCTTCAGGAGACAGATCCAACGTTCTTTTCGTACTTCTCTTTGCCATGGAATGACAGATCTCGCAGAGTTTCCGAGAAATGGAAGGAAAGGAAAGCTGTGAAGCTCTGCCCTGGATCAAGCCATTTGAAAACACCGAACTACTGATTTGTTATTTCTCCTCKCCCAGTTCTGGAGGAATGTGGCTCTGGACATCCTAATGGGATTGTATTTATGAATAATTAGGACAAACATTTGGATTTTCCTCTCCCGTTTTGCATACACACCTTTGGAGGACAGTGCAGAAAGGGTCACTTATTTGACTGCGTATTAGCAGTGTGAACAGATAAGCTCATATTCGGAAGCGGGACCTCTCTCACGGTTGAACCGAGTAAGTACTGTTGTTTTTCCTTCTCTAAGCTAAGCTAAAATGTGATAATAGGAGAGAACAAAAGGATGTGGTGAAATGGTGTCTGTGTGATGCTGGAATCTCTGGAATSTGTTCCCCATGGGAGGGCTTCAGGGGGAGTCTTCAGCTTGTACCTGCCTAGAAAAGCTGCTACGGGGCTAGCTGTGCATCTCGGTATGATTCTGCAACCCCCAACCTGACTGCTGTGCACTTCTGAGGCTTAACATGCCCTGTGTGGATGGCACTGAGCTAACATCAGCACCAAATTTCTTACTTTGTGGGTGTTTTGGTGGGTTTTCACTGGCTTGTGTTGAGCAGTTGGGTCCAGCTCAGCCAAAAGCTGACATGGGAGAGAAGTCAGGGGGCAGCTCTTGCGTGGCGTAGTGCACCCGGCTAGCTTTTGGCACTGGCCCCACGCTCATGGTGTTAGCAGGTAAGTGATTTTATTGGCATGGAGAGGGAGGAAAAAGGCTAAATAACTTGGAGCTTAAATTCTCAGAGCTGGCTCATACCTAAACCTTCTCAGAATGAATGGGAATTAGCTGTTAAGTTGCCTAGACTTGGAAAAATGCAGATATTACTGTGGGTAGGTGCTATAACGAAGTCTTCGGTTTTTCATCCCTTAACTGTAATTTGGCCATGGAGAACAGAGACCAAAATAGCGCCTTAAAAGCTTCCAGGAAACATTATTCTGCGTAGCTCCAGATGCCCTTAGGGAAAAACAGGAGAGGCAAGTTTTTGACTGCCTGGATGATGACCAATACCCCAAATATTTGAAAATGGTACCGTTCTGAAGGCTGACATTTGTAAATATCCATGGAGGGTCTTTCCAAGCTGTTTTATGGGAGCGTTAGTGTTGTGCCAGYGTGTGAGCTTGTTAGGTTATCTTTTTTTGCCCTTATTACCACRATACAGACCTAAAAATGTGCTATGCTGCCTTCAGAGGTCTGCATAACTTTTAGGTGCAGAAAGAAATGCCCAGGGTCATTTTATATCCCTAAAAAGCGTGACTTTAGCTGCTGAAAGACATACACCTGTCTTAGACACCGCCTAATATAAGGACACCTTACATGGTTGTAAAAGTCTATTTTGGGATAACTGAATTCCACCTCCAACTACTGAAGGATAAGAAGCCACTCTGAGCAAAAATTATTTTCTTTCCAACTAGCAAAACATTGGCTGTAATTACAGGACTAGARGACATTCCCAAATTCTAGTAATTCCAGCGTTAGTCTGTATTGGTATGGAACTAGCATGTGTCAACAAAGAAGGCAAAATATCCCAAAGTGAGTACTAAAATTTGGCTAGAAAACAAACRAATAAAGAAACAAACAAAACTGCAGCAAAAGGCAGTCTAAGAGTTAGGCGCAGGTAGAAAAATCTTAGTAAGGAACTTCATTTGGGAGCAGGATCCGCTCTGTTCCTATGATTTCTGTTTTTCTATTTGATGGGGGTGGGAATAGAAAAGTTACCCCCACAAGGGAAGGAATATACGAATTCATGCCCGTATTTTCAGGTAATGCAAGATGTATACGGAAATTCAGAAACCAAATAGTGTGAAAATGAAAGACATGCATCCTGCATGGTCTTTCAGAAGTCCAGTTCCAAAAAATTATTTTTCATGTATTGATGTTTGTTAATACTTCAAACTTAAAAGCACCACTGGAGACTGGTCACTAAGGTGAAAAACACTGTCAGGAGATTTGCTCATGGACATCAAATTGACAGTCTAGGAGGAGTTTTCTCCTTGCTGAGTTTATTACACAAATTATACATTCAATTTTGCACTTCTCCTGGAGTTGTGGACTAGCAATCTAGCACTATGCATGGCCAAAAAAACAAAAAACACCCTTTTTGTAACATGTATGAGACTTTTTGTTGAACCAAATACTGTTCCTGTTGTCTTTTTAACCATCTCCAGACAGATTGGGGTAATTAGCATCATTAGCAATGTGTAGTGGGGAACACCTCAGCCCAGTTGCAAGTGTTTGATCTTAGCAGGGTGTCCTGGAGAAGTGGAGCTCAGCAATCCAAGGACAACTTCTGACTGTTTCTCTCCTACTTGACAAAAATCCTTCTTGCAGCTGAGCTTTTGTTAACGAAAAGATCCACTGAAGAAGCAGAACTTCATTTCTGAAAGTTCTCCCACTGATACAACAGTCTTATACAACAGTGAGATGGCAAAAAGGCTTCTTTTTTTGTCCTACAATTTATTATTGCTGCACTTACATGTGGTAGTTGCTTCAGAATAAGGGTGGAGGAGCAGGAAAGAAAAAACAATCCCTTTTTCATGTCTCATGACCATATAAGGCTCTCCTTAATATAAGTGTTATTTATAGGAAATGCAATGCTGAGCAAATAGAATAATTGCACTGGGATTGCATACTAAAAAGCTCCTGCTCATTTGCCACTCCCACACTAAAAAATAGTTCACATACAGGCAAATAATTCAGATATAGGCCCAAGTCCTAGCAAAAGCAAGCTTAGAATTTTGTGAAGTTAAAGCTCCTGCATCAAACCTACCCTTATACACCCCTCTGACCTGCTGTTTTGGAAATGGCAGCAGGAAATAAACACATAAAAAAAGACATTAAGCCAATGATAGTGGTGGGGAAGAGTCACAGCTGAACTGCATCTGAGCTGTTCATGACGGCTCACAGACAAGCTTGCAATAATCTAAATGCCCAAATAATGCTTTTTTTTTTTTTTTCCCCACAGGAAAACGAGAAGATTCTGCCCCAGAAGTCATTGCAATTAAATCAAAAAAGGTTAAGGAAGAAAGCAAAAATGTGAATGCAGTTTGTTTGGCAAGGAATTTCTATCCAAAGAACCTCAGTTTGGAAGCRTCATCTAATGAGGTGGTATATGAGCAGAACAAGCCTACCTTGACATCTGTGGGGACGTACAGCACCATTAAAGTGGTTCAGGTGGAACCAGAGGCACAGGTGACCTGCGTGGCCAAGTTCAACGGCAGCACTTACACCAAACACACTCTGCCAGGTACAATTTGTGGTATAATTGCAACGTATTTCTGGCTAGAATGTGCCAACCCTCCCTCTTTCTCCCTCTAAGAAGCATCTCCTGGGCATCCATCAGGAGTGAGAAGGCTATCTAGGTGCTTCAGCAGGTAGAGCTGAAAGATATTTAAGAGCATCTAAAAGGGTCTTATTTTTTTATTGCTACATTTCAATTTAAATTAAAAAAAAAACCCTCACATTGTCTTCACAGAATTACAGGGCAGTTGAGGTTGGAAAGTTCAGGGCCACCTAGAGCACATTGCCTTGGATTACGTCCTGACAATTTTTGACCATCTCCAAGTAGGGAGACCTCACAACCTCTGTGGGCAAAGTGTTCCAGTGCTCTGTCACCTTCAGAGTAAGGAAGTTATTCCACATTTTCAGACAAAACTTCTTTTATATTAGTTTGTTTCCATTGCATCATGTCCTCTCATTGAAGAGTTTGTTCACGTCTTCTTTATGCCCTCCCTTCAGATATTTATACCCTTTTATATTATATATAATATAAAATTATATAAATATAACATAATTATATAAAATATAATTATATAAAATATAATTATGGATTTATATATATTTACTTTAAATTTAAATATTCTTTTTTTTTAATGTTATAAATAGTGAGTTTCAGGCAGTGCTTCTCACCTGTTGAACTTGGTTCAGTCCTT